CCCCCCCAGCCCCCGTAGACCGAGACAGTGCCATGCCCCCACATAGACAAGGACCCCACAGACGAGAGAGCAACTGTCCCACCAACACCGCCCCCTATCCCCACAGACCGGGACACGCTCCCCATCATACACCCCTCCAATTGACCGAAACACTATTCTCCACTTCCTCCACAGCCCCTTCCCGTAGACCGGCACATACAGCCCCACCCCAGATGTACAGATAACACCCCCACCCCAACAGGTGTGTACCTCACTCCTGGGTGCCTATGGCCCTCCTTGTTGTTGATTGCCTGTGATAGTTGATTGCAAGTTGCCAGACTGTTTGTGTTCTGAGTGTAGGTGTTGGCGAAGCTGAGCTGTGGTTTGAACAAACCAAACCGTCAGACGGTGCTGCCAATGTGCTCTGTACCACGACTCTTCGACACTCTGCCCATTGGCAAAATGTAAGTTCATTGGGAGCTCTTGTCTGTTTCTTTATTCATTCACGGGCTAAGGACATCGCTGGCTAGGCAGCATTTATTGCCCATCCCTAATTGCCCAGAGGGCAGTTGAGAGTCAACCACATTGCTGTGGGTCTGGAGTCACATGTAGGGCAGACCAGGTAAGGATGGCAGTTTCTTTCCCTGAAGGATATTGGTGAGCCAGATGGGTTTTTCTGACAATCGGCAATAGATTCATGGTCATCATTACGCTCCTAATCCAGATATGTTATTGAATTCACATTCCACCATCTTCCAAGGCAGGATTCAAATCTGCGTCCCCAGACCATCACCAAGGTATCTGAGTTAATAGTGAGCAATAATACACTAGGCCATCACTCCCACATAAGATGTATGAGTAGGCTATTCAGCCCATCAAGTCTGATTTGCCATTCCGTGAGATCATGATTGATCTGATAATCTTCAGTTTCACCTTCCTGCCTTTTCCCCATTACTCTTGATTCCATTCCTGATTAAAAATCTGTCTGCCTCAGCCTTGAATATACTTAATGACCCAGCCTCGACAGCCCTCTGTGGTGAAGAGTTCTACAGAGGAGAAATTCCTCTCCACCTCTCTCTTAAATGTGTGACCCCTTACTCTGAGATTATGCTGTCAGGTCCTAGATTCTCATTTCCCTGTATTATATTCCAGCTGCCAAGTTTTTGTTCACTTGGTTAACATTCTTCCCAACTATTTTTTGTATCATCCATGAACTTGACAATAGTACATTCGCTTCGCTTATAAAAATTGTTAATGTATATTGTAAATAAGTAATTGTGGCCCCAGCACTGATCCCTGTGGCACTCCACTAGTTACAGGCTGCCATCCCGAAAATGCCCCCTTATCCGAACCCTCTGTCTTCAGTTAGTAAGCCAATCCTCTGTCCATGCTGATATACTACCTCCAGCACCAAGGGCTCTTATTATGTAGCCTCATGTGTGATACCTTCTTAAAACTTTTATGAAAATCCAAATATATTACATCTGCTTCTCCTTTATCTATCCTGCTTGTTTCAGCCTTGACTCCTGGATCTGAGCCGCATGGGGTTCTCGATGACTGGAGAATGTAGAAGGAGACTCTGCACCCTGCAGAACTGCCCCTTTGCTGGGTCAACACACCAAGGCCCACATGTCCCGTTCCTTCCTCAGAGCCTTTTGCCAGCTAGCCCTTCCCACTTCCGCTGACTCGGAAATCTTATCTGTTCCTGTTTCAGCCGCAATCTTGGTGGGAAGTTGGGAGAATCAGTGGCTCGTCTCCTGAACATTGAGTACATGGGGCAGCTGCGAGCATTCCCAGAGTCTCAGCTCCACAGCATGTTCGGGGAGAAAACTGGGTAAGTACACAGAGCCCTGAGCCCCTGGGAACAGACTGTCAGTGAGAGGCTGAGGCTCTGTCAGAGCCTGGAAGGTGGGAGTTATCTGAATGAAGAGGATGGTGCTAATGTGGCTCTTGCCTCATGGTTAAGAGGCACCTAAGTGATGTTTGTCTGACTGGAGTTAGGCTGCTCTACATTGGTCAGTATTTAGGATGTTACTTCCTGAACTTAAATACAGGAAATACTATTTTGAAAATTGTGGATTTCTTTTTTTTCAGTAATCCTGTCAGGGGATAGGGGGTGGCATTGACTGCCCTAATTACCCCTAGAACTGAATGTTGGCCACTTCAGGGGCACTTAAGAGTCAATCACATTGCTGTGGGTCTGGGTCACATGTAGGCCAGACCAGATAAGGACGGCAGATTTCCCTCCCTAAAGGACATTAGTGAACCAGATGGGTTTCTGACAACAATCGATGATCCACTTGGTTGTGGTGACCATGAAACTGACTCTCAATTTCAGCTGCTGGGTCCCTAATCAGTGACATGACCCACTACACCGCAACGTCCCAAGCGTTCATTACAAACACAACCCCTTTACAGCAGATCCGAGCTGGACAGCTGTCTACAGACCTCAGTCCCATGTTTTCAGAAGAACATGGAAGCTGTGGAGACACTGGTTCAATTTTGTCTGATGCTGCGATGAGCCCATACAGAAACCTTTTATTGAGAATTAGAAATGTAGAGCTATTGGCGATAAAGCATGGGCTGTATACCAGCCTGCTAACTGTGTTCTACAGTTGGCAGGATCTGGGTACTACCTGACACTGCCTGCCTAGTCCCTGATACTTTTCTCACAAAACTAACTCTGCCTTGATTTCAGGAAGTGGCTGTTTGACCTGTGCCGGGGAGTGGAGTTTGAACCCGTCAGACCCCGACACCTCCCCAAATCCATCGGCTGCAGCAAGAACTTCCTGGGGACAGAGGCACTGAGCAGTTGTGAGCAGGTATGTGTGTCATGTAGCCAGGGTAAGAGAGGGGTTGTGTGTCTGTCTCTGTGTGTGTGTGT